TTACCACCTGGTGTAAATCTAGACACTTTCCATAATTAACATTTGGGACCAGAATAAGACTAACACAAAAGGCATGATAGCAAGGGTGTTTGGCAAATACGGTAAGTTATCATCTAGCGAATATTGAGGGACTAGTCTTAATATCACAGGGGTTCCCAACACTAGCAAGTGCAAGTCAGCATCATGAGTTTCTTGTCACCGTGTCAAGTATGTTTGACTTAATGACAACTTAGGATTTCCTTCCTTAATGCCCTTCCGGTTTAATTGTACATGTGCTGACCAATTTCTCAACTAACTTGGGTGGAGACCATAAAGGGAACCAGCAGTATCGACCTCCTGCCGTCGTGGCAGTAAGGAGAGAGTGTCTGTAAGGACTAGCCGACAAGTATCTTTTAATACCCGAAGTCACATTCACGATACTCACACACGAGCTTAAGTGCAAAAATAATGCAAATGGTACATCTCAATCTATCCTATGAGCTTAAACACAAACTCATATTTTATAGTATAAAAAGGTAACCAAAATCTATACCTAAGGAACAAATACAAAGTTATAGTACTCAAATATATACCCACTCAAACCATCATTTTCATCTTTGCATATACAACAAAATTAATTACCTAATCTCATTAGATAGTACTCATTGAGATGTATCTTTAATACCAAATGTAACTATAACTTTCAAATTTAAATTTCCCAAAAAGTCACCCAGTCTAATACTAAGGACACTTAACCCTAAGGATCTCAAAATCATTAACCAATTGAAAAAAGGGGTGTATGAACTTGACTTAAGGGTAAAGTGTCAAGAGAGTGGGGCTCTTGGGAGAGTTGCAACTCTCAACTTTTGTTTATAAGGTGTGAGTTTGCAAGAAAACATTATGAATTATAAGTAACTAAAGGGCACGACTTAAGAGATTATCCATATAGATTCAATACAGAGGGAAAAGGCTTTAGTTTTTTATAGTAGTGCATATGGTTTTCACTTTTTACCCTATGGTGATTTACTATAAAATAATTATGGAGTGAAATGTAAACCCTTTGGCCACGTGTCCAAAGGCAGTGGAGTGAAACTCAAGTTTTAGAGCCTTTGGCCACTGAACGAAGGGAATTACCAAGTGTAGAGGTAAAGAGCAAAGGAAGTGGAGCATGAAACAACTCCTAAACAATAGCTTAAGGAACAAAGTAGTAAGAGCATGGAATGACATAGGATCAGTTTTACAACATCTAACATATCAATGCCAAGAATAACATGCAAAATGGAGCCAAATAAAATTTAACACAACTTCAGCATACTAGTGGCTTAATGTAAGGAGCTACTATGGTATGAAACTTGGGCTTAAACCCAAGCCACACATAAAGCAAGAATAGACACACAAATGTTCCTAACCTAAACTATACTATGCCTAAGGTTGGTGCATCATACCCAATCTACCCACTATCCTTATTATACATTTGGAATGGTGTTAAATTATGAATTTGAATGTGGGAACAATACCATTGTGTTTAGGAAGATCTCTATATTTCATATATATATATCTAATTAGTAAATCTAGACACTTTTGATAAATAATTAATGGGACTAACACATAGGGCATGGTGTTTTAATGGATATGGTAACTTATCATTTAGCGAGCATTGCGAGACTAAGGTCAATATTATAGGAGTTCCAAACATTAGCAAGTGCAAGCCAATAAATGAGTTTCTTTAACCAGGTTAAATATATCTAACTAATAATACATAAGAATTCCATTCTTATGCTCTTTTGGCTAAATGCACATATAGAGATTAATTTCTCAATTAGATTAAGTAGAGATTGATAAAGGGTCCAGCAGTACTAACTTTTTACCATTGTGGCAATAAAGAAAAAATATCCAAAAGAACTCTCTGATAAATAACTTTCAATACTTATAGTTATATTCACAACATAATTCTTTAAATGATTTTAAAAAGGAGGCAAAAAGAAATATAATGTGTGATCACTACAAAAATTGAAGCTTATAGCATATGTGATTATAGGATGAGATTTAAATATACTATCACCGTGGATCCTTAGAATTTTGGGGAATACATGGGGATAAAATAGCTACTAAAAGCTTTTTTATCAAACAATTGTTCTTTTTCCAATTAGCTTAAAGGGAGAGAGATAAGGTGTGTTACAAGCCCACTACAAAAATAAGTGCAAATCTCTTTAAAAGAGCTCATTGAAAAGAAAAAAAAAAGGCTGAGAATGTAAACTTTGTAAATAAATATTTTTTTTAACTATTTCTTCTAGTTATTTTAATTCTTTCATTGTCAAATCAATTTAATTATCAAAAGAAGTGGTTTAATAAAATTAGAACAACTAACTGACTTATTGTAATTGGTTAAAAAATGAAGTATCTAGTGAATGAATATTAAAAATTCCTATTGAAAATAATTCTATAATATCTGTGAAAAATGCCTTATATATAATTAAAAATGCATTTTCTAATACTTTAATTACAGATATAGAGTCACTTTTGACAAAATACTTCATCAAAATGTTACTTATACAACAACCTTGAACCATATGTAGTAAAAACATTTAATTTATGATTTAAAGTATATCTCTAAAGATTTTGGTTCTTGTGGGTCTTGTATCAAAGGCATCCATAGATTTCTATATCCAAAATCCATTACTGTTATCACAAAAGCTCGTATATATGTAGACATGTATCTGAATCATTAAGTAGTAAACCTATATGCTTACATTTATTTTTGGCTCAATCATATAACAAATCAAATTCTATCTCTGACTATAGGTGAAACATGCCCCAAGGTTTTGGCAGTAATGAAGGCATTGCAGTTCTTGTCAAACACTAGCTAGCTGTCCCTATCAAGAATCGAAGATCTCTCTGTATTGTGCAAGGAAGAACTATCCAACCCCACCTTTCTCCTCTTTTTTCTTGTTGTGGCTAATACCGGAGTTGGGCTGTGTCGCATCTGGAGTCCAAGTAATCAATGTTATGCGCTGAGTTCTTGGACCGTGTCCCGTCTGGAGTCTAAGTAATCATGTTGTGTTGAATTCTTTTTTGATTGACCAAGATGTTAACGCACACAATGATTAATCGCAAACTAGAATTAATTTTTTCTAATAAATGAATGAGCGAAACTGAAGACATTCTTTCTTTCCTGCTCCGAACTCTTTATCATTCGTGGACAACTCAAATTTCCACAAATATCTTTTTCGCCTCGCTTGTACACAGGTTTATAATATTCACAACCAGGTTCTCACCTGGAGAGGAGCAAAATATTTTAGAACATCCTCACAAAAGAAACAAAAACTTGCCTGCGAAAGATGTCCTAACCAGCGTGAGTCGAATAGCAACTCACCCATTGTTAAGCCACCAGAGAAGTTTTCCAATCAAACGGAACACAACAAGCATCTCCACTCTATCCATCATCCTTCGCTGCCTCCTCCCTACGTATTCTTTCCTCCTCCTCCTTATTAAATATAGCGTTCAATTGGCGTTCTAGCTGAAAACAGGACAAAACAGAATAAAAATTAAATTAAAAAAATTAGAAGATAGTATAGTTTACCTGTACATTCCGTAATTTTACAATCTGCAATTCTTCCGCCAATAATCCCACTCTGAAATTTCGTCTTTTAGTCTGGAAATCCAGGAACTTCTTACAAACCTAGATTGCAAATCGTTGAGTTGCTGAAGCAGTTCGCGCTCTTTTTCTGTAGGAGGGTCGGCCTAGAAAAGAAAAACACATTTTAGTCCAGAAAAGAGCATCACGTTGCAAAGAACTTCTACCATATCGTCACCACGGTAGAAGTTTCGTTGATTTGTAAACATCATCCGTGCAGCTATAACAGAAACCATGGAAGTATAAGATGGATGATCAAAGTGTTTATTGCATACCGGCCGGGACCTCTCCTGGATTTACAGTACTCAAAAGACTCATCAAAATGTCCTAAAGAAAGAGAGAGAGAAAAAAAACCAAAAACATTAGCAAGAGAATCCTCGGAACTATCAACATGCCTGTTGTGTAGCGTTTTGATGAAGAAGAGTTTGGAGTTGAGGCATAATAGCAGCCACAGGAATGCTTGCAACTCCATTTGCGACCACAGGTTGGGACGATGACGTTGGAAATTGCTGGAAAAATAAAGAAATTGTACCAATGACACATAAGGAAATAAATTTGTACCTGCATACTTGCTATCCTCCGATTGCTGGAGTGATCCTATAATTAAAAAACACTTATTTACCAACAAAAATAATGTAGGAAAATACCTCCACAACACCAGTATCCCCTGATGTCACCCGAAATCTGCCTTTCACAAGCGTTCCCTTTGATTTTTCCTCTGAGGCCTCTTTGCTACCTGAGAAAGAAACAAAATGTTGAATCAGATGTTGTGACAGACACTCATTCTAGGATGCATGACAAAGCTTTTAAGGAAGCCAGTCATTACAAGATAAACATGCCTGCTGAAGCTCTTGAAGGTCCTGGAGAACCATTTGCAAATCCACAAGGCAAAGGCCCACTGAATGATGAGCGGGTTCGCACTAGATCATCAATACCACGGACGGACAACCTGGTTGATTCAACATGTAAGACAGAGATCAAACAAGTAAAGGCAATACCTTTCTTTTTCTTCTCGAAAACACGCAAGAACGCGATCAGGTAGCAAAGGACCGCTAGCAGACTTCCGATGTTCTTCACCATCGAGTCGCCTTCTCTCTTTGTCATCCTTCTCGTCGATCTTGCGTGACTCTTTCTCTTCCCTCCGTGACTCGCTTTCGTCCACCTTCACCTTCATGCCTTCATGCCATCCAGGGCTCTCCATTTCCAGGTCATCTTCGAAAACGTCGAATCGCCCACTGTATAACGCATGTAAGAGTTCAGGACAAAATCGCAAAACAGAAACTTACATGTGCTTGGGTTCCTTTCTCCCAGCGGCTAGCCTGAATAAAACATTGAGCAAATATGACAGCGAACTTATAACGTTGCTTCTTACCCTTGCTTCCCATTAAACTTTGAAGGAATGATTAACCGTCCCCGAGCTGTTGAACGATCGGCAGCCTATCGAGTAAACAGAAAAACACACACTAGTCAACATAGAAAATCAACAGGAAATAAGGCTGAGCTTACATCGGTTGCACTTTCGGGTTTGGATGGTGGTGATTGAGCGCGTTCGTGATCAGGCAGTTCAACAATCTCGGGGCTTTCTTTGAAAAAAGAAGAATTTTCATCGTTCTTTTCAGGATACACGTCGTCGTCGTCTTGAATCTGATCCAACGAACTTTAGCAAGGTGTTAAAAACAAGTTTAATTACCAGCGCGGCCTGAGCCTTCAAATCCTCGACATCAAAATTCCAGCTGCTCACACCTCGTTTATACTCTTTCTGCATCAGCCCAACATTTTAAACACTTAATCATGGAGCCGGCGAAATGGCCCGAACCTGTGATTGTTCTTCCTGCTCGCCATATGGAATTTTCTTTTGCGCAAGTCGAGCAGCGTCATTTATCTGGAAATCAAGCATAAGAAGACCGAGTACATCAGCTACTGATAAAAATTAATACCTTGAGAGTTCTCACTCGTTCCCATAATGGAGGTAGTCCTTCCAACACATGCCGAACCAAATATTCAGTAGACTTTGCACCTTTAAAAAACGAGTGCTTCAACAGCTTCTCCGCAGTAGGCCGTTTAGTTGGATCTTTCACCAAGCACATTGCAATCATCTCCTTGAAAGACTATTTCACAAATAAAGATCTAGTCAGACGCCAGTGCTCGGTCTACCATACCTTAGAAAAACGTCGATCACGTTCATAATCAAGACCAGGAGGCGCATTTTGCAGCGTCATTAGTAAAACCTGGCAAGACACAGCGTGAGAGATTGCTCAAAACCGCAGCTTTCAGACCTTCATCGGAGGATATTTCGAAAACGGTGCATGCCCGTGAGCCAACTCCAACGCAGTGATCCCGAAGGACCAGATATCAGCCCTGCAGGACAACAACAACGCTTAGAAAAATTCTCATCGGCAAGAAGAAGAAGAAAAAAGAAGCTCCATTACTTAAAATCATAACCGTGTATCTGCTCCATGACTTCTGGAGCCATCCTACATTCACAAGGAAGGCCTTAACAACATAGTAAGTGATTAGATCATGAAACACACCAACAAGGGGTCCCCACAAACGTATTTCGGGATCGTTGACGATCCCCGGTATCGAAAAGGCAGGCCGAAACACCAAAGTCCCCTAGTTTTATGGCGCCATTGCTGTCGATCAATATATTCCCTGCCTGTGACAAGACCCCGGATCAAATATGAGATCACGTCCTAATCCATTCGAGCACACAGACCTTCACGTCACGGTGAATATGCCCGTGACGATGCAAGTACTCGAGAGCTTTTAGAGTGTCCTTCAAGACCGTCGCGATGACAGCCTCCTCAAAGCCATCCGGGTACGCTGCTTTCATGATGTGAAGGCACGAGCCGCCAGCCATGTAAGGCATGACCACCCAGAGGCTGTGCTCCACCACGAACGAGCAGTACGCTCTCACGACATTTGGATGGTTTATCAGGCTCATGGTCTTGGCCTCTTTCCGGATTTCATCCTGCATGGAAGAAGAGAGAGCCATGAGAAGAAAGAGCTCTCATCCAGGATCGCCCAAGAAACTCACCAGATTGGAACTACATTTCTCCAAGTCGAGGCTCTTGATGGCCACAATCTCTTTGAAGCTGATGCACATCGCGCGATAGACCGTGGCGCTCACTCCCTGCCCTACCTCCTCGAGAAGCTGATAGTCACTGGCCAATGCCGGGTACTGCCTCTTGTCTTCCATGGCCACGCCACCACCAAGCAATTCCAGCCACTCCCCCCTAGAATTTATACACCATCCTCCACGGCCAGCACAGGTAGCAGAACCAATACAATTGCCCCAAATTCACGCACAGGAGCTCCAGCGGATCCATCCCCGGGAAGTCCTCCTTCCCTACTACAGTCTCTCTCTTTCTCTCTCCAATTCCCCCAGTCAAATCGCGACTTTGAATCCCAATTCCCCAGCCTTGACAAGGCGCCTGGATTCCTGAGCTCTCCCGGCAATCATCTTGACGAGCAAGAGAAACCTGTCCTGGAATTCGCTCAGCTGGTGGCAGATCTACACATACCGGCCTCCAATCGCCCCTGGCCGTCGCAGCTTCACGCCCATGCCCCAGAGCCGGTACCGCCCATGGCCGCGACACAGGTTCCGCATGGCGAAACCCTAACCTGGCGCTCCTCCGCCTAAGCACTACCAGATCACGACTATTTCCTCCTCGCGCGGATCAATCAGCTCCATGGGCGCCGGGAATCGCCGCGCGCCATCTCCAATCCTGGCCCCTCTCTTCCTCTCTCCCTCTCCTCCCTTCTTCTCTCGCTCTTCTCTCTCCCTCCCTCTCGCAAACAAAAAGGAGTGGAATATATCTGAGGCCGAAATTATAAGAATGCGACCATGGCTGTTTTAAAAGAAAATGACCTAAAGATAACGGCGACAAGCTGTTAAGTTTTAGGGTTTCGTCCATTTTGTGTGCTCCCCGTGAAGGAGCACACGTAGCTACAAACAAGGCCAGAGAGGTGGGGGGATGGATCGAATTTCCTGGGCATTCCAATGTCCACTGGAATCTCTACGCGTACGGAATCGTACGGCCCGGACGACGCTCTTGCTTCTTCTTTGCGGCTGTTCCTTCTTCTTCCGCTCGTCGTCACAGTTAAATCTTTCGCTTTGATGGGTTGGTTTTCTTGATTCTTGTGGGCTTTGATCCTCTGTAGGAGCGATGATGTTAGAACGCTCGACGTTGGTCGGGAGAGGCTGGGGGAGATTTTACCCCTGGCGGCGATGGGTAGCGCCGTGTATCAAGTCCGAGGCCTGGATCCTGCTCACGACTATGAGATCAAAGTCTCGTACCCGGCCTCCGTGAGTGTTGGAGCTGTCCTCCTCGGTCGTGATCCAGTGTTTTTTCCTCCGGTGATTCCAGGTACCAGCAGCATTCTCGCTCACGCTCTTGCACAGCCGCCGTTCCTCCGGTACTACTAGACGACTGCTCAACGTTGAAAAAATCATTTTTCCTGCTCGCGAGCACCTGATCCTGGACGAGGTTAGCGAGATTCAAAGCTTGTGTGGGAGAACTTACTCTAGGATCCTCTCGCCAGGGGTCTCACAAAGTTTTTGTTCGCGTCTCGGTCAAGCCCGCGGGGGTAATCGCCAAGAGGAACTTCAAGGAGCAGGAGTTTATCGTATATAACATAAGTCCGTAACTGTCGCTCGCTTGGTTTCGTAAAGTTTTGTTCTGACCAGTACCTCGTGGCAGTGTGCGAGCGAGTGTTCTTCAGTGGGATCCCTGAGCAAGCCTGGTGGATAGGATTTTTGGCAACTGGAGCGCTTCTCTTTTCATATTTCCTAGCAAATATCCTGCCACATTTACTGTTCGGCACAACAGCTAAGTCGGCACAGAATTAAGCTTTCTCGCTACAAAATGGTGCAGAAATACAAAACCTTGATAATCCTCGGGCATATCGGTCAGTCGGAGCTTTCGTCATCGGCAGTCGAGCCACCAGCGTTACCCTTGTTGTACCCCTGCATTTGCTTGGTGTACCGTTCCTTGTCAACACGAGCCTGAGATTCGAATGGCTCTTTCTCATCCTCTGCGCAAAAAAGTTCTATAAGTATTAAACAAAAGAGAAACACTTTAGAAAACATACTGCTCATCGCCTTCCAACGCTCGCCAAGCGTTTTCGCCACATCCTTGAAAGAAATCCCTGGTGTGCTTTTCTTTAGATTCTGTATATCACATCACAGATGGTAAGCGACGGGATAAATTGTAAAAAAAACACGTACCTCTCTCTCTGCCAGTGAAAAGTACATGAAGCCACTAAGCGCTCTTTTAGGAGCGTTAGGATCCTTTTTTCGTCTCTTCTTCTTCTTGTCCCCGTCACCTTCTTCATCTTTCTTTTTCTTTTTGGTCGCTGCTGGCTTTTGAGACGCTTCGACTTTCTTCTTATCCTTTTTGACAGGTCTCTGTATAAGTACATTAGCACCTCGAGAAAACGTGAAATATCCTCACCTCATCTTGCTGCTCCCCACCACTGTCACTTGCATCGGGTTCTTCCTCTTCACCGGAATCATCTGTCGGAGATCCTTCATCATCCTTATCGGCGACAAAGTCTTCGTCCTCTTCGTCACTATCTCCCTCGTCTCCCGTTGCACGCGCTATTCTTATCCGTTCAAGATGCGGATCGACACCTTCGTCATCAGAACCTTGAAGCGCCTCCGCAACAGCACTTGATCCTTGTGTTTGGAAGTTCAAAATTTTCAAGCCCTTCTCACTGCAAAAAAATGAGGAGAATTAAGTACATCTTCCAACCAGTTTACCTGATAAATTTGAAAAGACTGTGATATTCGTTTCGCGAGATGTTACGAAACAGATGTTCTTGATCAGTTTTTAAACGTAATATCAAATCAAAGTTCTTGGATGACATACTGCTCGTTCCTGCGGCTCCATGTCTTTCAAACTCCACGTAATCTATCTGCAATATACAATCTTAAACCAAATCCAGGGACTATGATGAACTTACTTCTTCATAAACTATAAGTGTCGGTGGCTTAGGCAAAAAGAAAAAGCTCTTCTCCAGAGGATAAAGAAGGCCTTCTTCCGCTTTCAAGGCTGCCCGAACTGCGTAGCCTTCTTGACTACTGCGGAACTTGGTACCAGGTTTAGTGATTCCAGCGCCCGAAAGTCCCCTCAGAATCTCCACAAAAACTTCATATGACAGCCCCTACAAACAAGCAGAAATATTATGCGTTGCACGGAAGTAGAAAATCTACCTTATATTGAGGTGCCAGCCTGTCTTTATACTTGGTATTTAACAGCTCGTCACTGATCAAGGGCGTAAGCTCCGTTATCTCCTCAGACGGATACTGAATAAGAAAAGTACAACTTCTCTCAGTCGGCACATAGATATTTTCGTTTACCTGAAAAACTATGTGCGGATAGAACGTCTGACCTTTGCGGATGGGAGGGTCCAGTGTAATCACAACATATGTGGAAGATTGAGCAGACTGCCGGCAAATCATCAGTATGTATTCACGAGGAAGAACGAAAAATTACCCTTGGAAGAACAAACAGACGAGCAACACTGGTGTATTGGATCTTGAAGTCACTTGCTCCGAAAAGCCGCAAGAATGACAAGTGCAGCTCCACGAGGTATCGACCCCTGTAAACACAAATGCCTGTCATCAAAAAATAGAAAACAGTGAAATACGTACCTTGGAGTGAGAACATTGACAGTTTCAAATGCCGCGACGGCTTCTCCACCAGCTGGACCAACATCCGCCATCGAAAGAATCTTATCGCAAAAGACCTGCGCAAACTAAATCAACGACAGCAAAATCCCAACTCAAAACACACCTGCGCAGATGCACGTTCCTCGTCACCAACAAACGTGGTATTAGTACTTGGAACGTGAAAACTCATCTCCATCAAAGTGTCTTTCTGCATATAGAGAGCTTATTGACAAACAAAATCGCCTAATTGAAGATTCCTACCTCATTGGCTGTGTCATCCACATGAAACTCCATCTGAACGTCATTCTTTCCCTGCACTTGTGTGTTGGAGATATCGGCAACGCATATCTCAAACGCCGGCTTTCCTCCGACGACGAACGATAGAGTGTTTCCTGGACAACAAAAAAACAAGTTTTGCACAGCACAAACACGCGATCGAAGTCACCTTCCAGTTCAGCTTCTCCCCAGTTACGTCCACTCACAGCCAAAGGCTTATCCTGAGGAGTAACTCCAATATTCGAGGTTATGAAGGTGTTCAAGCTAGAAACGTCCTAAAGAACAGAGAAACAAAAACAAAAGAAATCAATCGCAAGGTCACAGATAGCTTTGAGATTCACCTGCTCGCGAAACCCAGTAAACTTCACATTGGAGCCGGCCTTGAGCCTAATGCTCATCTGGTAGCTCCTAGAAACCCTCGTCCAACTCACGCTCTTGACATCGTCCTTGGCCACATCTACCACTTTGCCTCCGCCGGATTTCCGCCAGGAGAAGCCTTTGGAGCTGATCTTGAGCTGCCCGGGATTCTGCAGCACCGATCAGTGAGCACTTAAACCCTAGCAACGAGCTCAAACGCAAAGAAATCTCTCCTGTGCGGCGCTACCAACAAGAGAAAGAACCACAAGGATCAACTCACCGCTCCACCGCGGCCTCCGAGGAGGATGTTGTTGAACTGATGCGCGTCGCCCATGGCGGGGCACGAAGAACACCGGCTAGGGCTCGTGGGGGTCTCCCGCCACAATGAAATTAGGGCGAGCCAGTTTTTACTGGAGACAGACAGAATTTCTCTCACACAAAGTCAAAAGTTTCGTATAGTGTCAAAGCTGCGAGGGAAAGCTTTGATTGGAGAACACACTAAAAGCTCTAGGAAGTTTCGACTCCCAGTCTCATGGGACTCACTATAGCGATCCTCGTGTGCTTGCTCGCGACCGCGGCGATCATCAAGTCACTGCTCGCAAGGAGATCGTCCAGACTCCCGCCCTGTCCAATCTCCTTCCCGGTGGTGGGATCTTTGCTCTGGACCGGGGCCCGAGTGGAAGCTCATGCGCAAGATCTGCGCCACGAACCTCTTCAGCAACGCCATGCTCGCCACCAGCGCCCCCTACCGCCGATCGCAGCTCCAGGCCGCCATGGACGCCATCCTCGATCGATCGCGGTGCAGCGAGCCCGTGAACTTGCCGACAATCTTCGCCAGATACCCGTCGGGGTCGCTGTACCTGACGCTCTTCAGCGAGGAGTGCCCCGAGCTGGTGGCGACGATCAACAACCTGGCCGGGCAGGCGATCAACCTTAACATTGGCGAGCTCATCCCGTCGCTCGACTGCATGGGCGTCTACGCCAAGATGAGGGGAGAGATCATAAGGCGCTGCTCGACGATCAAGTCCGACGATCAACCCACAACGTCCACAATGCCGCGACTTTGTGGACGTTCTCATCTCCCTGGACGAGAGCGACAAGCTCTCGGACCAAGAGATCATCGGCCTCCTGATCACCATCCTTCTCGATCCTCTTCTCTGCGATGTGACGATCCATCGAACTTTCTTCCAGGATATGGTGGGTGCCGGATTCAAAACCTCCATGAAGTTGATCGAGTGGTACATGTCCGAAGTGGAAGAACACGGTCTCAAAACCTTCCATTCCCACCCGGCGGTGCCGCTGGAAACAACATCCGCCCCGTGGAGCTCGGCGATGGCCATGCCACCATAATCCCCGACAAATGCAAACTCCTCGTCAATCGCTGGGCGGCGAACGATCCAAAGCACTGGACAAGCCCCCACGAATTCCAGCCCCAGCGATTCCTCCAACATCTCGCCCGGGGGGCCAGCACTTTCAGATCATCCCATTCTCCGCCGGGAGGAGGATGTGCGCCGGTTATGGCCTCGCCATGCGCCTCCCTCGCCAGCCTGCTACACGGATTCATCGAGATCTCGGAAAATCCCATCGCACTGGAGGAATCGATCGGAACCATTTCGTGCCCACCTGCGAAGGACCTTCGCGGCGTAGGATCGAGGAGCGCAAGAACCCTCACCTGGCAATGGCTATTCTGGAGGGGTTTATCTAGGGTTTGAGCCAAATGCTCTCGGCGCGCATTGCTTACTGCGGCAACGTCGAGGCGAGGGTGCGATCGCGAATCCATGTCCGGTGCTTTGCGAAGATCAGCTCCTCGGTGCCTCCATTCTCAGCGGTGAAATTCCCTGGTAAGAAATTCTCGAAATATTTGGAGCTTGTAGCTACCCCGCCTTCTTCCTTGCTCCTTCAGCGCCAGAGCCCGGCGGCTATGGCGAGATATCCTACTGGGACAAGCGCTACGCGGAGCAACCCGATGCTACGCTCGATTGGTTCTCGGATTACTCCAGATTCGAGCCGATTGTCCGTAAGCACATCCCCAAATCTTCCCGGGTTTTGATGGCTGGGTGTGGCAATTCAGGTACCAAGATCTCAGTGAGCGATGCCATAGAAAAGAATACTAATTCCAGTGATGTAAAACAGCAATGTCTAACGATATGGTGGAAGATGGCTACCAGGAAATCGTCAACACCGATCTATCTTCGGTGGTGATTGACAACTTCAAAGCTAGATATGCTCACGTTCCTCAGCTCTCTTGTATCCTTGGGCTTGGTGATGTTACTTCTTTGCAGCAGCCATATCTTCCTTGACGAAACTTAAGACGTGGCAATAGATTCACGGGACATGAGTGCGTTTCAAGACTGTTCCTTTGATGCGGTCATTGACAAAGGTAACAAAGTAATAGTTTACTCTCAAGAGTCTCCTCTTACATTTTCTTTCTCTTTGTTTTTCAGGCCTGGCCGACGCCATGCTAGTAAGTGCTTGTGTCACCAAAAACATCCTTGTCTAGTGCAATTTGCGTTCCTTCTTTCAGTGTGGAGTTGATCCGGCAGAAGGCGTTCTACAAATGCTAAGAGAGACTTACAGGTTTTGTGTGTACTACTACTGATTTAGTTCATGCTCTCTCTCTTGCAGGATTTTGAGACCACAAGGAGTGTTTATGCTGGTAAGAAGAAAGAAAACTTCTATAGTTCCTGATCTATAACCATTCTCACTGCAGATCACCTACGGCCACCCTGAAATACGAATGCCGGCGTTGCTGGAACCAGGATTGAAATGGTCCATCCTTCTATACGCCTTGGGTATGTTTTGAGCTCTAAACGGGATAAGCTCACTCTCTGTGTATTTTCTTCTCAGCCAAGCCTGGCACTGAGAAAGCCGTAATGGAAACGATTGAGGGAGTAACTCCAGATTCACTGCCCATTGACGAGCGCAACTGGTCTCTCGGCTTGGAAGATTTTGGGGGTGACAAAGGAATGACCTTTGTCTACGTATGCTCAAAACCTAATGAAAGAGATAAGTAATATATTTAACAAACTTTACTAGCTAAAAGTATTTATCTAACCACATTTTAATCTAAGATACAAGTAATTACCTTTTCCCTCGCGACTATATAGCAGCGAAAATGCTTGTGAGGGTTTATCACTTTCCATCCTCTCCAAGAGCGATCAAGCAAGACCAATCGATCATGGGAGTTCCTGGGTTTTTCGCCTGGCTCGTATCCAAGCATCCTCGGTGCGTGAGGGACGCGATTGATGGTGCCAAGAACAATATTCTTCGCTACGACAACGCGAACTTGTACGTGGACCTCAACACCATCATCTGGGTCATCCTGGAAAGCCACGATTGCCCGCCCACCTTCGCCACTTTTTACCAAGAGTTCCTCGACTCGCTCCGCAAGCTCGTCGCCATGGTGGCTCCGACCAAGCTCGTCTTCCTAGCCCTGGATGGAAGGCCTCCCACCCCCAAGCTCTTCAGCAAGCTCTTCAAGAAGCCGTGTCGCTACAATCGCGATGCTTCTCTCTCCTCCTTGTCCTCCTCGGAGGATGAGCTCGATTCCACCAAAGGTCAGACAGGTGATCTCATCCCACGCAATCGCAAGGCCAAGATGGCGATGGTCCGCCATGGAACGCCTTTCATGAACGGGCTGGAGAGTGAACTGCGACGATTTGTGGCAAGCATGATGCTGTCAAGTTCATATGATCATCGCCGGAGGAGATCAATGACTAGCTCGAGGCTCCAGTGGATCGTTTCCACGTCCGAGGAGGACGGGGAGGGCGAGCTCAAGATCTTCAACCACATACGGGCTCTGCCGTTCAACGCCCACGACTTCCACTGCGTGGTTGGACGCGACGCCGACTTGATCATGCTGGCTCTCGCTAGCCCGCTCTCCAGGAAGATCAACATCGTCCGCCAGACGCCGAAGGACGGAATTATGATTTACAAGCTCATCAGCATCGAGACGCTCGTGCGTGATTTCGAGGTGCAGATGGAAGAGCCGTGCTCCGTGCGGCTGCGGTCCACCATGAGGGATCTCGTGTTCCTGTGCTTCCTTCTGGGGAACGATTTCCTGCCCGGCCTGGAGGCGCTCACAATCCGAAACAATGGCATCGACAAGCTCCAGCAAACGTACATGGAGGTTTTCAGTGAGGCAGGGGAGTTTATAATCGACTGCAATGGGCATGTCAACACAAGAGTGCTGGAGAGATTTCTTTTGCATCTGCTGAAGCAATTAGGGACATCAAAAAAGTTGGAATCTAGTGTTGAGATGGGCATGACAATGTAGTCATCGTATCTTAACATTCTAAGGTGGTGCGCAAACTACTATTTCAATGGGGTGGTGTGTGATGAGTCCTACTACTTGTGGAAGAATGCTCCAGCCATGGAAAGGTTCGTCAACTTCATGGGCACACTTCCACGTACTGCTGGCAGCGTGGTAAATCCAAGGGCTTCACTCCCCGTTACTCCTGCGAGCGGTCTTAACTTATGGCCTCAGTGGTTGAAATCCTGTTAATTATGGTTGAAAATTAAAAGGAACCGTAAAGGGTTACCTAAACCTTACTAGCCATTTTCTTAACTAGGTTATGATTTGGGTATTTGCTTGTTTCTAGCGAGCGCTCTCTCTCTTTCTTTCCAAGATGTTGTTTGAGCTATTACAGATTCGGAAATCGTGCTTGCCTTCAACTTTGTATGCAGTGAATGGAATGTCAAGGACGAGCTCCCGAGCAATTTAGATGCTCTAATTGAGGTGAGTTTTGGGGCTTCTTCTCAATCTCTGATTCCTGCTTTTAGGCTCAGGAAATCGAAGCTGCACAGGAAAAGGTATGGCTGGCGTTTCTCCTTTTCCTCTCTCATTTTCCCCTTCCTTTTTCCTTTATTGTTGATGCTCTCTTTGGTACAGCACGGTTCATCCCTCGAACAGCTTTGCAGCGTCGAACCGCCCAAGCGGCAGCAAATCCTACGCTCTGATGATGAAAAGGTGGTGGAGCTACAGGAGTTCGCCCGGAAGCCCGAGCTGGGTCAAGGTTTCCAAGAGCTGGGTCAAGGTTTCCAAGGTCTCGTCGCTTGTTTTCCGCTAACTCTTTTTCTTGTAAGCAGGGTTGTTATACCCGGAGTTCGATGATCATAACGCAGTGCTTGGAAACAAGAGGAAGGCGCCGCCGGCGGTCTGTGATCATCCGCCTCTCGATCGCGGCAAACTTACTCTCCCTAACGGTAAGCTTATTTCGTGATTTCGGTGTGGTCGGCTCACTAAACTGGGGAGTTGGACGATCGTGGTGCAGTAGAGCTGCTTGGAAATAAGAGGAAGGCACCGGCGGCGGTGGATCATGACTGTGATCATCCGCCTCTTGATCACCGCAAACTTACTCTCCCTGACAGTAAGATTGTTTCG